GGGAGAGAAAGGGAAAGAGCGACACACACACATGGCAGGTAAGGACCGAGGAACGGCCCAGTCTCGATGACCTTCCCGATGGATGGCGCGTCCCCGCGGAGGTCGATGGGCACATCCCCACCCACCAGTAGTTTGCCGGGCCTTTTTTTAGAGAGTCGCCTCCTGGGCTTGCATCACCACAACACGCACCTGTCCCCCTCTTCCACGCCCCCTTCCCTATCCACCCAATACCCTGCCATCTTCCCCTCGCCCCAGGGGTAATACCGAGAAAGAGCCGCTCAGATGTCCGGCCCGATTCTTTTCGGCCTGGCGGCAGCGGCCACCTTCTTGGGGATTCGTTACGCCCCTCGGGTGGCCAGTGCCGCACGCAATGCCATCCGCATGGCCACCGCGCAGAAGACCATGCATGAGCAGGCCCGCGGCCGGGCCGGTAAGACAGACAGCGACCCCGGATCCGGGCGCTCCGAGAGTGCCTACCAAGACTGGATCCGTCAGCAGCAGCAGCAGCAGCAACAACAACAGCAGGGCCGACCACGCGGCCCGAGCCAGTCCTCCTTCCAGCAGGGACAATATCAACAGACACAGCAGCAGCAGGGGCAGACGGGCCAGGTGCCCCCCTTCACCTTCCGCTTCACCTTACCGAATGGCACGGTGTTCACCTTCAGCTCCGATGGCGCCGGGCCCTCATTCTCCAGCTCGAACCCCATCTTCAACACCATCTTCGAGCACATCCGCCGGTCGGGAGCCACGGCGTCCCAGCAGCAGCAGCAGCAGCACCAGCAGCAGCGCTACCAGCAGGCGCGCCAGCAGCAGCAAGATCGCTTCCGGGACTTTTATGAGCAGTTTCACCAGCAGCAGCAGCAGCAGCAGCAGCAGCAGCAGCATCGCCAGCAGTCGTCGTACGGTGGCGGCTCTCGGGCCGGGTCCTCCAGTTCCAACTTCATGACCCGCTCGGACGCCCTGCAAATCCTTGGTCTCCGGTACGCGTCCCGATGCCTCCGACCTCGTTGCCTCCCCTCCGCCTCCTTGCGCGGCTAACTCATGCTCTGCTGTCCATTTTGTCGCGACTCGCTGGCAGGTCCCACCCGCCCCCGACCGAGAAGGAGATCGGTGCTGCCTATCGCAAGCTGATGTTGGTGAATCACCCCGACCGCGGCGGCTCGCCTGAGAAGACTGCCAAAATCAATGAGGCGCGGTCCATCCTCCTGCGTGGGCTTGGTCGGTGAGGCGGTGCCGGGGCACCTGTGCGAACGGCAGGCCCCCCCCCCCCCC